TGCACTTTATATGTCTATTTAAAGCCTGTTAGCTTTTTGTTTTAAGTGCACGCCATTGTGTTTTTTTTCCAGGGGAATCACGAATGTGCCAGCCTACCCTGCCACAGAAGCAGCTCTGAACATCATCACCACAGGAGCAACGAGGCAGCCGGAGCTTTACTATCCCTGGTACACGTATTTAATGACCCTCATCAAAGACTGGAGCCCGTCTGTGACCGGTTACATCATCCAGAACTCCTACAACTACAATCCATGAGCGTTTATTCACAGTCAAACTAACAGGGACTTGAAAGTTTTGTCCCTAAATGAATGATCTTTATTAAATTCTGTCCAGAGATCTGCTGCGAGACGTTCAGACTCTATCGGATGTCTTTAAAAACTGTTTATGATTCCTCGTAACGCTGCAATGACTCAATCTTATATACCGGTACCTCAAAATATCAGTATCAATATGGAAAAAAAAACATATGCACTTAATTTAGTTCAGGATTGGAATCAGCTGAAAAGTTTATTAAAATGAAATATCTCTCACTTTTGCAAATCAAAAACTTTGTAATCTTGCAGAAGAATTTGTTCTGTACCTGGATTTGAATGAAGACCAAAGAGATGAAGGCAAGCAGAGCTTTGGATGGTTTGTGTTTAGATTAGCTGCACTCCTCCCGCTTTATCTACCTCCCCCTCGACCTGAACTCAAATGACACTGTCATAGTTTAATGTGTAAGAAAGATTTTTGCACATTTTTTATGTTCGTTTGTGACACAAAGCAACAAACATCCAATAATCAAACAAAGGCAGGATGTGTTTTAAGATTGATATTTCTCAAATGGTGAAATTGCATATATACAACAAACAGCCTCTTTATCACTCTGGGGAAGGTTGAACATGGTGCCATTACACACTACTGGACTGTGCGGACATAGTTTTAGTATACACAAATTTTAGGTGTACACAAAAAGCAATAACAAGTTACTTAAAAAGACATTCTGCTTCCCTGCATTATGCACAACTTCCCGCTAATGCCACTGGTTAAAGAACTACAGTGCCCATGCAGCACTGGGGACCCTTTGCAGCTGAACCTCACTTAGCAGTTTCCTTTTCAGTTGGGGGCCTTTTTTCTTCAGGGGGGAGGAGGTTGGAACACTCTGAAGGGGTAATGTCATTTCTCAAGTGCAAAAGTCAAACAAATTGGTAACGTGAGGTCATCCAGACGCTTCCTGCTCACTTGATGAGGTCCTTTACTTGCTGGAGCCCCTGATTTGTATATTCAGTTACTTTCGTCGGAGCCTCTGAAAGACTTGAAATCGTCCACCGCACTCCTATCATAAAAACAAATAAAAAACAGTCACAGGCCGAAAAAATATGCATTTCACAATTAATGTTGACGTTGGATCAGAACGTGTCATCTTTAGGTTTTCCCAACCACCAACACGGACAAGAACACCAACTTCCCGATTCAATTTAAGCACTTTTTTCCCCTCTTATTCCATAAAGGACCAAAGAATCAGCTCTTACCTGAGTTCCAGGCATCAACAGGGGAGAATTCAACCTTAGGCACAGTTGGAAGCTGAGCCTGAGGACAGAGAAAGAGCAGTGGGGGGCACGTTTAAAACGGGTCACTGCATTGAATGTCATTTCTATCAGAGCACGATTGTAAAATATCACTGGGAGACTTTTTCAATTCATTCTTAGCTTTAAAGAGACAATGCTGTGCACTTATTATCAAGTAAAACCACCATAACACCTCAATAATTTGCATGATCTTCTCAAGCAGGATGGTGTTTTTTTGACTAGTCTGGATCTTATGTTAGTTTGAATGGAAAAAGGGTCAAAACACTCAAGTTTTTTCCTTTTAGAGCATCTGATCTTTTACCTCCACACCAAAGTACTTCATCCACTCCTCTATGGCGGGGGGGAGGGCAGCCTGGGCCTTCTGCAGGGCCTCCGAGCCCTGCTCGCTGCTCCCCAGCAGACCCGAGTCATAGGCCACGTACAGAGCTCCTCCTGCAATGGTCACCTTGGTAGCCAGTCTGCAAAAAGAGGGAAACACAAGCCGCCATGCTCCATGTCAGCCATAAATAGCGAGCTCCATTTTCAAACGTGTCAAATTGAAAATGCGGACGCGTTATTTAAAATAAGAGACACCACTTCTGTTGATGCCATGACTGAGGACCCATCAGCTGTAGGTCCTCAGCGGCTGTCAAAGCTCACATTAGCTCATTTCAATAAACCCAGCGTGCTACCACACGGAATAAATATATATACAGAATAAATACAGTTAATTTAAATGTATGAGGTAACTCAGATAGCGGCGTGTCTAAAGCCGATAGCTGAAAAGCTCTTTGACAGACCGAGTTATCTTAGTGTCAGTTAGCCACCTTGCTAATTGAGTATTTTTTCACCTCAGCTTCCAATATCTAAAAGAACATTTCGACTTAAAGACTCAATACTGACTTCAGAACGGGCAAAATCCTTGCCGCCATGGTCCGCAGCTGCGTGAGTTCCCTGTGAGTGTTGTTTAAGCTAACAGAAACCTGCGGGGAACTCAAGCTAGCTAGCTGCACTGAAGGACAAGCTGCCTGTTCCTGTAGTGCGCATGCGCTGTCAATAAAGTTGCGCTGTCAATAAAGTTGCACTTTCAACAGATGACGATTTAAAGCTGCAGATTCGTTAATTTATTATTTTTAATTACGTCAATTTATGACTACATGGGAAAGAATGCTGGCGTGAAAATGTATTTTACCATAAAATAAGGTGTATTTTTTTCTTGAATTAACACCGTAAAGGGTTTTGGGGTAATTCAACCAAAGATTAAACGGTCAAAGTCCAGCTCAAGCTAACAAACCCACCCCCAAACGCCAGAAAGCGTCAGAAACAAAAGGAGGATGTCGTGAAATAGCACCTCCTCAAAAAGTACAACTCTGGAAGTTTCGTCACAGCTTTTCCCCCCGCTTATCCCAGAAGTGTCCCGAGCGGGTGCAAAACTCAGAAAATGGGATCGTTCACAAAACTCCTGATTGGGAGCATATTAGTTGCTTACATAGCCGTGAAGTGGACTACACCCGGGTTCGATGCAGGTAAGTTAAAGCGGACTGGGCTGGAGCTATGGTGGTGCATTTATTTATTTGGGAACTGTGCAAGTTTTGAGGTCCGATCGCTGAAATCCAGATGTCAGCTGGCAGCTGGATCACACAGCAAACGTCTTATTCTTCAACCGGCTGCCAGCCAATTGGAACAGAAGTTCTAACAGTGCATTGTTAGAGCTCACAATAAGAAAAAGGTATTTGCGGTGTCTGGTTCACCTGTCAAACAGGCTTTGGCACGCTGAGGTGATGGTGCAGATGACAGATCTGACAGATCCTGGACTCTCTCCAAAACAAGTTCAACCACTGCTGCAGGCTTCTGTTGGTTTGGACTTTTTTTTTTTTTAAGATTCAAGGACGTGATCTGCACACAGAAGTGGCTTCTAAACCTTTACTCAAATTCGTTTCTTTGTTGCAAAGCAGCTGTTGAAATAATGAAAATGAAACTCTGTACCTTCTCCAGAAAATCACATCACATTAAATGAGTGAACTGTCAAATAAAATACGCCGATTAGAAACATTACTCATCATCCATCACATTAGCATCCATAAACAACTCAGGAGCGTCAAATTTGGAATATAAAGCGACAAACGGCCATCTGAGGGTAATGGGTTCACATATCTGTGTGCTTGGGGTCACTGGGATTAGCTCCAGACTTCTTTTTTTTTTTCCAAGTTATTTTTATTGAAACAAATTATAAGATAATATCAATAAGGAATACAGTTCACTTTTTTTTTTCTTTTAAGATAAACATATACTTGTGCAGGTGTAACTTCTCATATATAAATACAAGTATAAATGTTGAAGTAGTCACACCTACTACATATACCAAAAACAAAAACAAAACAAAATAAGAACAGTAAAAGAAGGGAACAACCCCCCCCCCCATTCCCACCCTGTCTCAGCCCAACACATTCAGCAGAAAAATAAGATAAATAATAATAATACTAATTAAAAAAAACAACAATAATAATAATAATGAAAAAAAAACTTCAGTAAAGTACAGCAACAGGCACACATATTTAATTAGGTAGGAACTCCAAATCTGAAAAATAAGAAAGAAAACTCTGCCATTTTTGGAAAAAATTGTCCGTACATCCTCTCATTGTGTATTTGATTTTTTCAAGTTTAAGAAAAAACATCATGTCCTTAAGCCACTCGGTGATGGAGGGATATCTAGCAGACTTCCAGTTTAATAATATTGAACGTCTTGCGATTAAAGATGTAAAGGCTATTATATCTTTTTGCTTTGAATTTAATACTACTAAGGAATTAGAAATCCCAAATATAGCAGTCAGTGGACAAGGTTGCAAATTAACTTTGAGAATAGTAGACATAGCTGTAAAGTAACCGGACCAAAAAGCAGCCAAGTCAGGGCAAAAAAAAAACATATGACTAAGATGACATGGAGAGTCCTGACACTTGTCACATTTGTCTTCAATTTCTGGATTGATTTTACTGAGTCTGGACTTAGAGAAATGGACTCTATGTAAAACTTTGAATTGGATAAGACCAAGACGAGCACAAGAGGTAGTAGACCGTATTCTGTCAATTGCATCTTCCCAGAGATCTTCATTTAACTGTATTCCTAACTCTGATTCCCATGCATTCTTAATTTTGTTATCCAACTGAGAGTTTAGTTTCAGAATTGAGTTATATATCTTTGAAATATTTCCTCTCTGAGAAGGGTTATATAAAAGCAAGTTTTCCCAAGGCAACTCCGGGGGGATTGAAGGAAAACTGGGAAAGAGTTTTGAAACAAAACTACGAATCTGAAAGTAGCGAAACAAATGAGTGCCCGGAAGATTATACTTAGAGGACAAATTAGTAAAACTATCAAACACACCATGAACATACAGATTCTTTAAGTGTCTAACACCCTTATCATACCAAACTGAAAAGAGAGAGTCTGAAAGAGATGGTGGAAATAAGTGGTTGTTAGTTAAAGGAATCATAGAAGACGCAGTTAAAAATTTATGTTGCCTTCTAAACTGATACCAGATCTTAAGGGTGTTAAGTACCACTTGATTGTCTGTATATAGAGAAGGTTTTGTAGGCAGAGAAGAATATAGCAAAGCCGGTATAGAAGACCCTTTGCAGGATGATTGTTCTAATTTACACCAAGGGGAGTGAGGAGATTCCAACCAGCCACAGAGTTTTTGGATGTGAGCAGCCCAGTAATACATCTGAAAATTAGGTAATGCAAGTCCACCACTAAGTTTACACCTTTGCAAAAATGTTTTACGGATCCTAGGTGGCTTTCCACCCCATAAAAAAGTGGCAATTGTTTTATCTAAAGAATCAAAAAAAGTTTTGGGCAGAAAAAGAGGTATTGATTGAAACAAAAACAGAAATTTTGGTAAAATATTCATCTTGACAACATTTACTTTGCCAATCAATGAAAGTGGGAGACTACGCCATCTTTGAATATCTGAGTTTATCTTCGAAATAAGGGGGGTGAAGTTAGCTGTTAGTAGGCCAGATATAGATCGTGTCACATTAATACCCAGATATTTGAACCCAGGGAAAGTAAGCTTAAAGGGTAAGTCGGATTGTTGGAGATCACAAGCAGCACTATTTACGGGAAAACACTCACTCTTCTCCATATTTAATTTATAACCTGAAAAAGAGCTATAGTTTTCCAGAATACTCAAAATGATGGGGAGGGAAGAAGCAGGGTCAGTTACATATAATAACAAATCATCTGCATATAATGACAGTTTGTGTTCGATCGCATTTCGAGTTATCCCTCTGAATAAGGGAGAGGATCGTAAAGTTATAGACAGAGGCTCAATGGCAATAGCAAAGAGTAAAGGTGATAGTGGACACCCTTGACGAGTCCCGCGTCCAAGAGCAAAATAATCAGAAAAAGTGTCATTAGTGTGAACAGAAGCTTTAGGGGAAGAGTAAAGAAGACGAATCCATGAAATAAATGCATCACCAAATCCAAATCTCTTCAAAACAGCAAACAAGTACTCCCATTCCACCCTGTCGAATGCTTTTTCAGCATCAAGAGATACAACTATCTCTGGAAGTTCAGCCGAATGTTTAGAATAGATTATATTAAAAAGTGTGCGAGTGTTAACAAACAACTGACGCCCCTTTATGAAGCCATTTTGCTCCTCAGAAATAATCAGGGGAAGTACATTCTCCAAACGAGAAGCAATTATTTTTGCCAAGACTTTAACGTCAACATTAAGCAATGATAAAGGTCTGTAGGACCCACACAAAGTTGGGTCTTTGTCTTTTTTATGAAGGAGAGCTATAGTGGCTTGTGTCAGTGTTGGTGGTAAAGAACCTTGTTTAAAGGATTCATTAAATACAGCCAAAAGTAATGGTGCCAATTTTCCAATAAACTTCTTATAGAATTCAATAGGAAACCCATCAGGGCCGGGGGCTTTATTAGACTGCATAGCTTTGACTGAATTAAATACTTCAACCAGGGATAGTGGAGAGTCCATGGTCCTGGCAGTGTCTGCATCAATAACAGGATTATCAAGGTTTTGAAGAAATGTGTCCATATTAGCTCTGTCTACAGGAAGGTCTGATTTATATAACGTAGAATAAAATGTTTTGAAAATAGCATTAATTTCAGAAGGGTCTGTGGTAGTTGTGTGACTAGTGTTTGTAATGCTAGGTATCAGGCGTGAGGCAGCTTGACGCCGTAGCTGGTGTGCCAGTAAACGACCTGCTTTGTCGCCATGTTCATAATATAAACCCCGACTATGTAATAACAAGCGTTCTGCTGCTTTAGTCGAAATTAGCTCAAATTCTGCTTGCAAATTTGCTCGCTGCTTAAGCAGTTCTGGAGTGGGATTTCCTGCATGTCTTTGATCAAATTCCCTAATTGCAGATGTTAATTCGTTAAGTCTAGAATTAAGTCTTTTATTAGAAAGTGAAGAATAATAAATAATTTGTCCTCTAAGATAAGCCTTAATTGTCTCCCATAACAATGAATATGATGTAGTATCATTCTGATTAAAGAAAAGGAACTCGTCAATCGCATTTGAAATAAAATTGCAAAACTCTTTATCTGCCAATAAAAGAGAATTAAACCTCCAAAGAGGCGGGCTACGTTTGTAAGCAGAAAACTGAATCTCCAATAACAATGGCGCATGATCTGATATAGTTATAGCCAAGTAATCAGTAGAAACTACACAAGAATCAAGAGCCCTATCAATAAAAAAATAATCAATCCTGGAATAAGATTTATGCACCGGGGAAAAAAAAGAAAACATTTTTTTAGATGGATTACGAGATCTCCACGGATCAATAAAACCATTTTGAATCATAAAATCTGAGAATGTTAGCGACATGGCCGATTGAGTTAAATTCCGGGGACTAGAGCGATCTAAAGTTGGATCAAAAACACAATTTAGATCCCCTCCAAAAATCAACAGGTGGGTATTCAAAAAGGGCAGATTTCTTAATAATCTATTGGCAAATTCAGCGTCATCAAAGTTTGGAGCATATACATTCACCAACACAACCTTTCTCTGCATTAGAGTACCAGCAACTATCAAGTATCTACCATCCTTATCAGCTATAACATTACTGGGGGAAAATTGAACTCTGTTACTAATTAAAATCGCCACTCCCCTTGCCTTAGAATTAAAATCTGAATGAAAGATTTGCCCCACCCAAGGGCAGCGTAGTCTGTGGTGATCTTTAATTCTAAGATGGGTCTCCTGTAGGAACACTACAGAACATTTCAGACGTTTCAAGTGTGTAAAAACTTTAGACCTCTTGACAGGATTGCCCATGCCTCTAATATTCCAACTAATAAATCTAAGAGGTTTGCCTGATCCAGCTGTGCTGGGATCTAAACTGTTGTTAACCATTTGAATAAAAGAAAGTCATGAAAAATATTACTAAGCTGAGACAGGACTCCCTCCCCCAAAACATCCCCAACATAAAAACACCCAAAGTCCCCATATAAACACAGAACAGAACAATGGAGACAGCAGTGTTCACACAGCAAAAAAGGTTGCCCACGCTAGAGTGAAGACAACACAGAGACGGTGCAGAGCAAAAACAAAAAAGTTTTTTTTTTTAAAAACCCTGCCAACTACCTGCCAATTTAACATGAAGTCAAGAACATGCGCTATGGAAAAAAATAAAATAAAATAAAAAATGTTTTAAAAGAACGAAAGTATAATCAAGGGTGACAAAAATATAAATATATTTCTGCCTTGTATCAAAATAATTACAAAGGGTCATAAGTATTTGAACATCAAAGAGTAACAGTGACCCAACAAATATTAATCCACAGTAATATTATCAATAGTCCAGCAATAGAATATTGCATACAAAAGCAATATAAAAGTAATAATGTTCACCCAGAAATTAAGGTTTGGACGTATTCTTTGGCTTCATCCGCTGAGATGAAGTCCTTCTCAACACCCTTGAAAGTAATGCGGAGACGTGCTGGATGGATTAGTCCGTAACGAGCACCATCTATGCCGCGGAGTAATTTCCTGACCTCATTGAAGGCAGCCCGGGCCCGGGCCACCTTGGCAGTGTAATCCGGGAACACGGAGAGCGTCATACCTCTGAGTGGAATCTGACGGAGCTCTCTTGCACGGCGTAAAATGTCAACACAGTCGCTGTAGTAATGAAGCTTACACACAATGGCTCGTGGTCGTTCATTTGGCTGAGGCTTTGGTTGAAGGGTCCGATGTGACCGATCCAGAAGCGGCTCCTTTTCCAAAGCGAACGCTTCCTTCAGCAAGGCAGATACAGCAGCGGTGTCACACGTACCGGGGCCCTCGGGAACCCCCACTATCCTAATGTTGTTACGCCGTGATCTGGATTCTAAATCCTCGCATTTATTTTCGAGCTTGGCAACGTTAGCAGTCAGGCTACTGATTGTTGCTTTCATCACAGCAATGTCATCGGAACATTCAGATAGTGCGTTTTCCACTTCTCCCACGGTGCACTTGAGCTCGGCTAATGTAGCATCAGTAGCTGCTTTATTATTCGCGAGCTGTGTTTTCACGGTTTGTAGATCAAGCTGGATAGTCGACAAAGAATCCCCGAGCGTCTCCTGCAACTGCTTTTTTATTATCTCGGCGATGTCTTCTTTCAGCGATGTCATTAGCTCCACTTTAAGGGCAGCGGCGTCAGGGATAGCCTGCGCTTCGGTGGAACCTGGCGGCTCACCTGAAGGCGGGGCTGCGGTCTGTAAACCAGGCCTCAGCTGCGTCTGGATCGTATTACGCGATTTTGTATTCTTTCCTGACATCCTGACGTGATACAAAGTTACAATTCTTAACAAAAAGTGTTGAGAAGTAAAAATAACACAAAATGTGACTAAAAAGCGCAGATGAATAACAATATTAATCGAAATTGGCAGGAGCTCGCAAACGCACGTGTCACTCCATTGAAAGCTCAGCAGCGCCCCCCAGTAAAACCAGCTCCAGACTTCTAACAGGTGTCACCAGCCTTTCTGTGTCAGATTACGATTGGATTGAATAAGAAAAAGTCTTTTGTAGTGAGACAATTACAACATAGAAAACACAAAATTGGGAGATATTAAAGATACAATATGTATCAAACTGCCTCCACTGTCAGTTCTGGACCTGGTGCATGCGTCAGGGTTACACATCACATGAACTTTAACACATGGAGGTTGGTTTCATGGGGGGGATTAAATAATGCTTCAATATGTCCTTTCTCTGTGTTTGAGAGGACGCACACGCTCATGACCGTCCTGAACAGAATCCTCTCTGTGTGGTGACGATAGGGAATCTTTACTGCTGCTTTGGGGAACCCTGGGAGTGGAAGCACGAATCGAGCGGTTAATTGGCCTTAACGTGCCTTCTGCATGTGACTGACCGGCCCTGGTCTAGTCTTTTCAACAGGAGCAATATTATTAAACGATTTTGGAGGCCAAACCGCAGAGATTTTGTAAATGATGAATCAAATAAGCAACATGAAGAGAAAACAGAATGCCCTTCAAGTTGAAAAGGCCACGGAGGACTTTGATTGGCTTATCGGTTTATGGTGTACCTCTATGTGCTGAGGACCCTAGATAAAGCGGGGGTCGTTATCTGATAACTGAGATAACTAATTCTGTGACATCAGACATGAGCAAAATGTGTCATTCCCGTATCTGCTGAGCACAGCTGTTATTCCACCTTCTGATTTACAGCACGCAGAAAAATCTCCTCTATTTGCATGTGTCACATGGATTTAGTCTCTGATTGAAATCCTTCTGCTCCAGAGTCTCTCAGAGGGGCCCGGGTTCTGGTGACGGGGGCCAGTACCGGTATCGGGGAACAAATGGCC